ATACATCCACTGTGTCAAGCACATTTGTACATTTGTTGCCATCATCATTTTCAAAACCTTTTCTTTCTTCTTGAGCCCTTGGTATCAGCTCCTCATTTTCTCCTTCCTCCACACCTTCCCTCTCCCACCCTTGATAATTTAGAATTTATTATTATTTTCCATTTTCTTTTCACTGCATCTTTCCCCACCAACTTTTTGAAGCCACCTCGTATGCCAGGAGAGAATTTGACCAAAATTAATATTATGGAGAAAAAGTCTTCTTGGTCTTGGCCCAAGTCACCTGTTAGCAATATACACCTGGATGCTGTTGCGTGTGAAGTGGTTTTCCAAGCAGGTAAATAGGGCGGTGGCGTGAGGACATCATTATTGCCCCATGGTCTTGAAGGAGGCAGCAGGGGGGGGTCTGGAGTCTTTGTTGCAGTTTGAAGACTGCACAGAGGGCAGCTCATGGAAGGAAGGTTTGGGCTGGAGGGATCGACCACCTCCCTTTGGGCTCCCAACACTAAAAGTCAGCTCCACATAGCTTAGCCTTTGATCATTTACTGTTTGATTGTTTTAATTCCCTCAATTTAGCCTGTCTCTCTCTCTTCCCCTGCCCATTAATGATCTGTTTGAGAAATGGTACCTGTCTGACCCGTTTGCTCAAGAAGTACCTGTTGTGGTGGGAGACTAACTTGTTCACCAGTAGGAAGGTCAGACCTCCCCCACTCCTAAGGTCTCTTTAGAGCTGGGTGAACACGTCACTTGGACAAACTGGAACCGTAGGTGAGTTAGAACATGGTGACACCCAAGTGTATATCTCCCCACCTTCCTCTTTCTGGCAGGGAGACTTTGGGAGCCCGCTCTTGGTGTTGGGGTGAGAACCCATATTCCCCACAGATGGAACTGTGTTTACCATATTGAAGAACTTCCCACCCCACACCTGAAACAAACTGACATAAGCTCACCCATGGAAACGGGCCCACCTTCTACTCCAACAGATTCCGTGTCCATAGCCCTTTCAGGCGGGTGGGCGTATTTGGAAAGGCTTCACGGAGGGGGTGGGGGTGAGCCCCGACGCACGCCGCGTTGCTGAAACAGAGCAGTTGCTCGCCTCCTGGACTGAAAACGAACTCAGCCTGCGTGACTAATCTTGGCAGCCGCCCAGCGTCCATCTCCTCTCTCCCTGCTATCCGACCAGACAGCGTGTAATTGGAGAGGAAGCCTGGGACCGGAGATTAGATGCTGTCGAGAAACAATGAGCGCTGACCGTCTGCGTCTGTCCAGTTCGCTCATGGTCTGAGCTGCGCCCGTGGCCGGCTCTGAGTCGTCACGAGCAGCTTAGCAGACCAGTCGGGCAGGGGCTGGAGCTGGGGAGCTAGGTGGATGGTGGGACTCAGAGCCATCTCTGACCCCTTGGCAAGAGAGCACCTCGGTCTGTCGGGCTGGCTGGCAACACCCTCCCCCACCCCCACCCCAGTCCCTGACCCAGCAGTCTCTTTCCACCTAGCTTTCTTTCCTTGGGGTGAGGTGGTGTGGGTTTTACTGCAGCAGCAAAGATTTAAAATAAGTTAGATCCCCTATTGGAATGCCAGGGAGCTTCCTAGTCCTTGTTTGGGGCCGGAACTCTCACCTGACTCCTCCCGTCCCCTCTGCGCAGGGTGGCCAAGCTTCTCACTGTTCCTCTAAAATGAAGGCTGGGCCGTCAGGGCAAGATATGGAGTCCTTCC